CCTGTCTACCGAAGACCCTAGGACCGCTTCATTGAGCGCACAAGGTACACGCACACCACCGACAACCTTCGACGAAATTTCCGGTATCAATGCTGCCAACACGCTTCACCAAACAAACAGCAATCCCGCCAGGCCTAGCTCCGCAACCAAGAACGCAGCGGACCGCGTGTCGATTACAGGGTTTGGTTCCGGCGGGGTCGGTGAAAGAGCTCGGAACAAGGGACGCGGTCGTATTGGAATCGTGATCGGTACCTTGTACATGTGCGCAGGCCAGTGGGTCGAGGCTGTACGAGAGCTCACAGAAGCCGCGACAAGAGCACGTGCTCTTAGTGACCATCTGTGGCACGCTAAAGCTCTCGAACACATTATGGTCTGTATGCTTCTCTTTGCATGGTCAGGCATGGACTTCCAGGTTAGTCCAACTCTTATATGATGTCAGTCTGATCGTCTTACTGACCATCAAGATACCCCCAATCTGCTATCCGACATCCGATAAGTCTGGAGGCAACAAATCACCCACTCATACACCGTCGAGTAGTGTCTCTGACGTTTCGACTCCCGCCAAACCTCACAAACATGATAACTCACTGGACGCTCTGAACTCCATGCTTCCAGACATGGTCAACATGATACTGAACCTATACACCCGTGCGGCCAATTTCGCTGGCGAATCTTTGCCGCCGCTCGCGTTTTCAGAATGTGTAATACGCTTTTCCAAGTTGCTGGCCGCCATCAACTTGTCCGGAGGCTTTCTAGATGATGATGCATTGCGCCAGCTTGTGCAGAATACGCCATACAAGCAAAAGCCACGCCTTTCGGTTCCGAGGCTTAGTGTACACCCTACGCGTAATGATATAGCCTCTATGCTATTCCGTGCATTACCTGGACCAGCCGAGAGCTCGGGCATGAATCCCACAGACCGCGTCGTAGTGCTTGCTGGTGTTGCCTCGATCTTATCGTCCTTGGGGCTACAACGCAAGAAAGCCATCGTCATGAAGGAGTTTATCACATCCTTGGTTCCTGGCTTGATCCAGGCCCGCAAGGTTGGTGCAGCAGAGATGGGAGTTCATCCAGCTGCTGGCCTTGCAGCTCTCAACATCGCAAGCGGCGGTAGCTCCGGGAGTGGCGCTCTCAATCTAGGCGAAGGCGAAGTCGAGAATGGGATAGAGGAATTCCTCGGCTTGCTAGGCCGGATATACGGGATACCCAATTCGAAAGGAAACATGCCCAATATTGGGATGCGCAGTCAGAGAGATGAGAACGCAGAAAGTGCATCGGACAGTATTGCTAGTCAACGCGTCGTTGACACCATACTGGCCATATCGTCATTGCGCTCTTTCGGAAGTTTGAGTCTCAAGCTAGAGATATTACGAACGTGCCTGAGTTTCTGCGAAGCATTACCAGACTTTAATGGCGTCCTCCATTTCACTGCTCTCTTGCTTCGGGTGGCGGGTCCCGGAACAGCACCGAGACCTAATAGCACCGACGTGTTCGTCTCTCTTCCCCGAGATGAGCAGATCCGACTCTACTCCAACATTTCGAGAACCGTCACTGCCGCTAAGAAGCTCGGACTACAACATGTAGAAACAGAATACTGGGATGACTTCCTCGTGCGCGGGTTGTTCATTCTCGAGGAAATGGAACCTCTCCGATTAACCCAAAGACAGGGGATCGAGTTGAAGTCGGACAGCCAAGGAAAAGACGGCCCTTTTCTTCACAATGCCTGGCTGAAGAAGCCGCAAACAAATGCTGCAAATACAGTCCTGGTTGCGAATGAGCACTATCGCTTCGTCATAGCCATGCAGAATCCATATGAGTTTGAGCTTGGCGTAGAGTCGTTGAAGATAGCTGCTGAAGGTGTTGAGTTTGTCGCGCTGGAGGAACACTTCCTACTGGGCCCTTATAGGACTCAGAAGTTCCAGATCACAGGGACTGCGCGGACATCAGGATCGTTGAAGATCATTGGATGCTACGTCAAGCTTATCGGCTGCAGAGAGCGGCTGTTCCCCATATTCCCAGAGCCATGGAAGCCGAAAAGAGAAGCTAAAATGAAGCGCATGGGCCTCAAGGCATGTTTAGGGGCACCGACATCCCGGCCATCCTCGGCAATCGCACCATCAATCGACAGTAGAGCAACTTCTCAGCCAAAGCCAGAGTCTTTGACATTTTCGGTAATCCCAGACCAGCCCGTCATTATCATTACCAATGTTTCGTTACCGCAGTCAGCCGTCATGGTGCTCGAAGGCGAAAGGAAGCGATTTACTGTTACCGTGAAGAATACTTCGACTGAAACAACTGTCGACTTCGTCCATATCTCCTTCCAGGATACGGCGACCACTGCGATACAAGCGGCGACTTCCAACAAAGACTTGCCTGCAGCCGAATTGCATGAGTTGGAGGTCCAGCTCGCCCATCATCCGTCCTTGCGCTGGTGCAAGGATGAGACCGAGGAATCACCGAGCATCAAGCCTGGCGCTGAAGCGCAGTTCACCATCGAGGTTATCGGTCGCACAAGACTTACGGATGCGACTATACAAATCGACTATGCCAACCTTGGAAAGCGGCGATCGGAAGTAGAGGAGCACTTCTTCACCCGTCAGGTCTCTGCGCCCATCTCGATCACCGTCAATGCGAGTGTGCAGCTCCAACGTCCGGACATAGTACCCTTATCCGGCGACATTGCCTGGTCCAGCGATGCATCGTCAACCTCGCGCACTCAATCAGATGACGAAGTCTCGCAATCGCGGTCATCTGGGAAAGCCGACGGTCATCTTCGGTCATTCATCAGTCAGAAGCGGAGTGATGATAGCGATGAAGAGTTCTGCATGCTTCTCTTAGATCTTAGGAACTCCTGGCCAAATCCGCTCTCGATATTGCTCCAAGCCCGGAAGCCCGTAGCTGATGGCAATTACACCAACGACTCATGGAACGAAGCGCATAGTGTGAACGAAGTCATACAGCCAGGGCATGTCAGCAGGGTCGTCATGATCCTTCCAAAGGTCTACCTGAAAGCACCACATGCGGCTGTACCATCGCTCAATCCCGCCAACCAACGCCAATTCGTCGTCAGCACGAGCAAGATCTCCCCTGAGACCGAGCGAGCGAGCCGAGAAGCCTTCTGGTATCGCGAAGAGCTACTCAAGATCGTGCGCGGAACCTGGACTGAGGATGGTAATGGACGTCATGGAGAGCTGGAATTGCGCAGCATCCGCTTCACGCCGCGCATGGTCGAAGCCATCAAGCTTGACGATCTCGCCATCAAGACAACCATCGCCTCCGACTACCCTGCACCGGGCGACGAAGAAATTGTGCGACAAGTCGGTCGCGCAAAGTTCGAGGTACCGATAGACGAGTTTCTCACCATGAAAACGTTCGTCCGCAACCGAAGCCCACGCCCCATCTCACCCATACTCAGACTACAGCCTCATGTTGCCGGTCTGCCTCATAACGTCGCTTTGGATCTAGACAAGCGCTTCTCGTGGACAGGTGTGCTGCAGCGCAAGTTGCCCGTCATACAGCCTGGAGAGACGGTAGAGTGTGAGCTTGGTATCGTTGCGTTGTGTGGTGGTACATACGAAGTCGGCGCAACGGTCGACGAAGCGGAGTTCATCAAGATGGCGGGTGGGAACGAGGATGAGAAGAAGAACAACGATCAAATGCTACTTCAGGGTGGCAATGTTCTGGGCGAGCCGAAGCTTCGGACTTGGTACATGACGGAGCCGTGTACTATCGTTGCGAAGAGATGAGGTGGGGAGGAGGTTAGACTAGATGGATGAGATAGATCTTATGATGCTTGTTTCATGTATCATTCTCAAATCAACGACAGTCCTGTGATCGCATGATGACGAGCAGCAAACTCTGAACAAAGTATATGGGACTGACACGCATAACCACGCCCAGGTAAAGCCATAACGCGACAAGATGCCCAATCTAAACAGTCTACCTACCGAGCTGGTCACGGCCATCGGCTCGTACCTCGGACCTAACGGCACATGCCTTCTCCGCCTCATCAACAAGGAACTTCACGAAAAGACATCCCATGACTTTTCTCTGTTCTTCAAGACCGTCAGGGTATCTCTGATACGCATCAGCATACAACGACTGAGCGATGTCGCGTGGGGCCACCTTGGAGACGCAATCGAGCACTTGATCATCGGCTCTGAAACGCTCGATCAATATCCGCTGACATCAACACCGCGTCCCAATGATTTCCGTCAATTGTTAGCCAATGAGCCCAAGACCAGTGACCTGCGCAGGTGGGTTCAAAACATCATCGACAATATACTGAAAAATGTGCATACAATTACCATAGAAGACCGTCCCGAGGATCCGGCCAGCGCTGTCTACCGTCGAAGCATGGGCCACGCCGAGATAACACGCAGGACCGGTGTGGATTTGCGCTGGAACGGGCCATATATCCGACATGTGCCTTATTACTCATACATTGAGAGTGTTTCAGATTATCCATACATACGGCACCACCGGCATGCGTCGGGACATCAACCTGATCGAACTTTCCCCGTGGTATCGCGGTCGTTGGTTTATTCGACTGTGTTCCAGATACTACGCTATCTACATACACGCAACAGGGTACTGAGTCTCCGAATCATGATGAGAAGTCACCGGGTGATCGAAAACCGTCCTAGCAATAGGATACTAAATCTCCTAATCATGATGAGAGGTCACCGGGTGATCGAAAACCATCCAAGCGATATTGCGAAGGCTTTCGATATCACAGACGATGTTGTTCTGGAGGTAGTGAGGTCCCATCTTAGACATATTGAGGTGGGTGAAGATGAAAGTACGTATCTTATCACGCCTCGAGTTGTAAAGTTTGTGCAGGAAATTCGCGATGTTGCGCTAAGTAGAGGTATTCCGTTGGTTGTACGGTCGGCCGATGGGCGGTTGGCTAAGCTTGCGGATGATTAAGGACGTAGTTATTATCTTGACGACTTGCGTTGTATGGTTCATTGAGGAGAATGATATTGCGCGAGCTATCCCTATTCGCAACAATTGGTTGTCTCAAGTTCCCAGGCCTCGGCGCCTGTATGCCGCTCAACTTCTTCTTGTTGGCCAGGCAACACCTGTTTTTGCGTCTCTGTTGGGCTATTACTTTCGTCAACGCTCTTTGGTTGGGATGAGTCTTGATTTGTTGCCGTGACTAATCGAGTGAGCTCTTCTAACTGAACATTGAACTCTGCTTGCTGCTTCAGAAGCTGTTGAAGTGTATTATTATTCCTGCTAGCAGCACTGTCATGTCATCAGTCAGGTAGCCTAGAAACATCATAGCCAACGATATACTTACGAGTTCGCCATGGTGATCTGATGGGACAGAAGTCGCGACCGCAGGTGTTCCCTCTGGCGTATCTTCTCAAAGACTCGGTCCCGCACCCGATACCAGCGCACGAGCTGCGGAGTTGAACCCAACCTCAGTGTAGCCTGGAGCGCAGATGCCAGATAGTTTGAGCGTTTTGATATGGATTTCGCCTCAATTTCATCGTGGATAGAACCAATTTCCATGCTCACCTCCTTAGCTTCTCTAAGCGCATCATTCCACGTCGTGGGCGTAACCCCAACAATTGGGCAATCTGGCAGTCGGGATAACATGCTCGAGGTGTCCAGACCGGCTGCGCGCTTGACGTAAACGCTGGTGACGATTTCGACAGAGTAGATAGAAACGATCAGTTTCTTCAGCCAGGCGGTGTCGCCATCATCGCTTTCCTTGATTACGAGCCGGCTTCTCAAACCTATCATCCTAAGGTCTTGGAGATTGGCCTCAACGGAAGAACGAACCGTCGCCATTTCCAAAAGGCCATTGCTCAGCGTTGTGTAGCGAATGTAGGCGGCTGCGAGGATGGCAGCGGCGAAGGTGAGAATGCCGGCGATGTTGGCGGCGATGGAAAGCGGGCTATCCTCCATCGGGAATGGCGTGAGGTGGTAGGTCGACAGAGTGCGGGGGCCTCGGGAGACTTAATCAGCTACCTTAGACTGCGATGAAAGAAGATGAAGGAGACGTTTGTAGTTGTCAAAGTGACATCGCACAGGTTATCAGTTGGCCCCTCCAATGGCGGCTGCATGGTGACATCCAATCCCTAGGTAGTTCCACCGCGTCTCGCTTGCACGCGTCAGCCTTGCAGCCCATGCCGCCCCCGTTCAACAAACGCGACTATCTTCATCATCATCATCGCTTCGCAAAAAGCTTGCATCAGACCACGTCATCTCACTGTTTTCGATTGTTACACTATCGCTTTTGAACGTCCGCCAACAGTCTTTCCATCACCCACACCCCATTTGCGAGATCGCGTAGCTCAAGCTACCGGGGAAGAGCGAGCAACAGCAGCACATCAGTCCTTCCTGATACTGTTTCGAAACAACGATTCAATCCTACATGATTCCATGTATTAGGCTTTTTATATACACCAAATCGTGGTGCAGGAGTAGAGAAGGTAAAGGACAAGGCAGCAGGCCTTTTACATCACCAACAAGCGAGTTATGCCACATAAGTAGTACCCTGGTACTCTTCGAAACGTCTCGCCGCGACATCGAGAGGCTGCATGTTATTTTGGAGGCGCATGGCGTCGCTACCACAGTTTTCGGCGCCCAAGCTCATGATATCTGTGCGACGTTGTTTGAGGACGCAGCAGGAGCGCGCATACCGGTCTTTGTGTGGTATTTTGAGGTGATAGTGCTGCACTAGTCATGAGAGCTATGTCGTATTGTTTGAGTAACTAGATACTTAAGAGCGAAGTGAGTGGAGCAATCAGAGAACCATGGCTCTCGGTCTCTACAGTTTCTCGTTGACGCCAGCCGCAAGTCATGTCATTGTGAGTTTTGTTTTTGGGTATCCGTTCTTGATAGGTGTTTTGGAGAAGGACGACTTTTCTCGCTCATGGCATTGAATGCTGCTGTCTTAAAATCAGTTCCTGATAGGTGTTTTGGTGGAGCACAACATCTCTCGCTCATGGCAGCGACGCCGATCGTTTTGGAAGAAGAGAGGACGAGCAGCCAAAGCACTCATGGCAGTGAACCGATGCACTTTTGGGAAAGAGCCAGAGAGGCCATTCGGCGACAGATGGGTTGTTTTGGAAAAGCCGACAAGAGTTGGGAAGATAGAATGGAGAAAACTATCAGCGAGGGAGGAGCTTTTATGCACGCAGCGCTCGCGCTAGTCGTAGGCGTAGTCGCTGCACGATTCCAAAATCGCGTCATGAGGCTTTTGTGAGATCGAAACGCGCCGGCCATTTCTTGCATGATTGGAATATTTCATTCCAGAAGACCAGAACTCGCCATGACACGTATCCATCCGGAATTTTGAGATTTGAGTAGAATGTAATTTTTAAAAGTCAAGCCGGCAAGTCAGAAGAACGTGTAAGCGTCGCCCACAGACAAGCGGAGTTATGGCATGGACAAAAGTGCGATTTTGGAAAAGAATGCGAAGAATTTTGGTGTAGAAGAGAAGAAGCAGAGAACTCGCGGAGGTTTTATACGCGTTCTAGCGTGCCGCTAAAGTTATGTTACTAAACACTAACTTTTTAGAATCTTAGAATTCTAACTTTTAAGCATTTTTCTTATACTAATTAATTTACTATAGTAGCTTCTAACTACTTTAACTATTTAAATATTTACACTTACGCGTAAATAGTTTAAAATAGCTAATATAGTAATACTTAAAAGTTTACTATATTTAGTATAACTTTTTTAAACTTAATAAAATAACTCTAAAAGTCTAGCTTATAGAAATTTATATACTTTTAATAAGAAATAATAGCGTAAACTTAATTATGCTATAACTTCTATTAGTAAGAGTACGCTATTAAAATACTAAGCTATTATAGATACTATTTACTAGTAAATTTAAGTAAACTAAAAGGCTATAAGAACTTACTATAATATTATTTAAAGCTTAGCTATAGCTATAAATAGCTATCTAGATTATTATACTAACTTTATTTAGCTTTTTATTACTATATTAGGAAAAATTTCTTAAGTTTTAGTTCTAGCGATTACCTAAGTTCTGCCTAGCAAAACTACTGTTATTCTACCTCTTCTACACTATTCTATATTAACTATAAGGTTCTAGCCTACTCTAAATTATAAGCCTTTACTCTAGCTTGTCTATTACGCGCCTATATTAGTTCTACTAGTTCTTACTTAAATACGCAAATTGCTAATATTCTACCTAGTAAAACTAGCGCTATTCTAACTATTCTAAACCTTCTATATTAACTATAAGGTCTTAGCCTACTCTAAATTGCGAGCCTTTACTCTAGCTTACCTATTACGCGCCTATATTAGTTCTAGTAGCACTTAACTAAACTTATAAATTGCTTACATTCTACCTAGCAAAACTATTATAGTTCTAGGTGTTCTACTGCTAAGTATAACGTTACTTCTGCCTTTTTAAAAATGCATATATTATTTTCTCTTTAATATATTATAAGACTTGTAGAGTTATATTTATATTTTAGTATAGTTACACTTCTTTATCTATGTAATTACGCTGTAGCTTTACGCAAGTATAATCTAACTATATAGCTCTATATACGCCTTTCTGTATATATTAGTAAGGCCTCTACTGCCTTCTACGTTAGTAAGTAGCTAGTTTTAGAATTTAGCCTCTACTATAAGTTCTCTACTAAAGCTAGTACTCTGCGTTATCTTTGCAGCTCTAAAACTAATAGCGTTCTTATTATATCTATTTATAAATAGGTTAATTACTGCGTTGTTATTAATATCTATATAGATCTTGTTATAGTCTATTAACTTATAGCGCAGCCTTGCAAGTAGTAGGTAACTAATCTAGTAGCTATTACTATCGCGCATAATAGAGTATATTCTTACATTTAGGCTCTGCTCTAGAAAGTAAACATTCTCTACTATAACCTATCTATTATTCTTTAAGTTAATATTAGTAAGTAGTTAGCTAGTAAGAGAGAGATCTATTGCGTTACTATAGGTAGTCTTTATATATATAGCTAACGTTATACTATTTATAAGCGCTAAAAGAGCTAGAGTTAGTATTACCTTAGACAAAGCAGAGAGGTTGCGCGCACGCCTAGTATAATAGAGAATAAGTATTATATTTAGGTTATATAGGTAGAAATAGTTAGTCTTAAAAGTAGTTAGTATTGTATTAAGTAAAATATAAAGGTTTATACCTAAATTAATGCCTAGCGCAAGCGTATTATATAGTAATATATACCTAACTTAAGCTATTAATAGTAGCTACTCTAGAGAGGTAGTTTTATAGCGTAGTTAATTATTAGTAAGTATTAGCAATACTAGCGCAATAATACTAGAGTAGAGGCAGCGTGTAATAAGTAAGGTAAATTTTAGCTAGAATAAGATCTAGTAATATTAGGCTAGTAGTGTTGCGTTGTTTGCGTTTGCGTTTATTGTTAGATTATATTTAGTTGTCTAGTAACGTTAGTGTTAAGGTAGCCTTTCTCTCTTTTACTAGAATAAGATACCTCTTCTTTATCTTACTCTATTATAAGAGTATCTATCGCTTACTCTACAGCATATAACACTCTTAGTAAGACTTTAGGTTTTACGCTAGTTAGCGCTTGCTTACTAATTCTATAGGCTAGGTTTTAGTAGTACCTACTCTACCTTTATACTCTTATTAATAATCTAATAAATCTACTTTACTCGCACGCTTATTGCGTAATAACTATTAGGTATTATAGTTATAGAGCTCTCTAAGAGAGACATGTAAGCCTAGTAGAAGACTACTTTCTATAGCTTCTATACAAGTTTGCTGCCTAGTGTTATTACTTTAATTACTAATTTCTTTTATAGTAAACTACTACGCTCTTACTACGTAGGCGGTCTTTTCTAACTAGTTCTAGGCTAATCTTATTACTCTTATTAAGCGTAGTTACAGCTAGAGCGTCTGCCTACTAATAGGTCTCTATAAGTTCTACGTTATAGATAAACCTAGCATCTACTTCTTATAGAATTAATAGCACTAGAACGTAGGTAAGATTTAGCTATAGCAATCTAACTATCTACTTTACTACTTCTTCTCTAATCTATATTGTAAATAGGTAAATCTTAGATAGAAGATAGGTAAGAAGCTAAAGTTTAGCGCTGTATTGCAGAGCTATAGAGGTTAATAGTCTATTTTTAAGTATTTTCTTAAAAGCACTATGTAGCTTAACTTAGTAATAGGTTAGAGTTACTCTCTCTATGTTAAGTACGCTTAGTAGAGTAATAATAAGAACTCTAACTACTTTATCTACTACTCTATTAGAGCGTAAGACTAGTGCTGTAGCTACTATACTTATAGCACTAGTTATAATAGTTTTCTAAGGCCTAGTAAGTTAAAGAATAAGTTGTATTTAAGAGTAAATCTAAACAATTTAGCGCTAGGCTCTCTGCCTTTCTTAACTTACGCAACTTTGCATTATCTATTAGCTAGCGTTACTTTATCTTCTACGTCTTTAGCGTTCTCTTCTCTTTAGCTCTAGTAGTAGTTATTATTCTTATTATCTCTATTTCCTCTATTTAAACGCAGCAGAGCTAGTACAACTCTTAAGAGTTTATCTTTATTATTATTACTATTCTAAGTTCTACGTCTATCTTTCTCTGCGTTACTAGAGCGCTACTGCGCGCATTAGCCTACTATATTTAACTTTAGAGTAGGTAATATAGAAAGGTTAATATTAAGAAGTATAGAGGCTATAATTTTAACACTTTCTATGTTGTTAAATTGCGCATTTAGTAGTAAAGAAGACCTAACTATTTAGCGCCTCTATAAGTATAAAGAAGAGAGCTTAAGAGAGACGTTTAGAATCTAGTAAATAGATTCTTGCCTTATAGACTTTGCTAAAGTTAGGTCTTAAATATAGCTATAGCTTAGATAGTAGAAGAGAGAGAGCTTGCTGCAGCGCTAGGCTAGTATATTACTTATAGTA